TTAAGTCCACTAAGCCAAAGTAAGTTTACCTATCTATAATGGAAGCACATTGAGAAACCTTATTGTTTATAGATCTTTTCCAACAAGCAATCATCCAAAGTGGCCCGCTACTAAGCTGCTATTCTCCCGATCTATCCTATCCTACATCTGCCCAAACGACCGCTTCAACTACAACTTCTACCACGTCGACTACACCAATGCCAGTGTTACAATATGACGCTGGAATACCATACACCCCTTTGACACCTGAAAATCAGACTGCGCCCGATACCGGAGCACATACTGCTTATCCATCCGAAACCACCCCGAGTGCGTACTATGGTCCAGTTGGTCCCAGTTCTACCACGACCAGCTCCTATTATTACACGGCCGCTCCAAGCTACGTCCCTTACAGTCCTGCCCCTGCAAATATTGTCTACGATGATGCCAATCCTAGTCAGCAACTTGCTTTAGAGGTAGATCATTTAATTCCTGGGTATCGATCTGTCGATCAAATTGATTTTGTCCTATTTTCAGCTCTGCAATATTACTGCGCAACAATGGCGAACTGGCCAACTTGGTGATCTGAGCAGATGTTTGCACAATTATACTGTTGATGTATTTATAAAGACTGAAGGGGTAAAACTACGTTCACAATCGTTCAAGTTTTTTTTTGAAACTTTATTCTCCTTTCATGGCTATATGACTTTTGGCATAATCAGATAATTCTTGGGTAAACCGTACCCTTTATTACATCTCTTGGACTAGTAATTCAATCCACAGGCCTTTGTCGGGATTTCGGAAATGAGAAATTTAAATTTGCCTATCCATACTCTATCTTCATTGGGGAGCACCTCTGTGCCACTCTGTCGTCCCGCCCAGTCCAATTGCGTCTCTAATTGGTCAAGCTTAGGCCAAATGGTAGCTGATTGGTAGATGATAGGGGCGTGGCGACGGACGAATGCAGTAGGGCCCAAACCCTATATTCATAAGTAAGCCATATCTAAGGAGTATCTTGTACCAATCTTAACCATACAATGTCCACTTATATAATATTTTCTATCACAATTTATTCGAACTTGCGTTCTACTTTCATGTTATCTGAAATTGATAACTTTCCTCCTTTGAATTCACAGAATGGGAGGGCTCAGCGTTTCATATCGTTCGGTCTAGGTCCAGAAGTATTTGTCATTGCTTTGATATGATCTCGCCTCTACCACTGGCTCATAGCGAAATGCAATTAGAAAATACGATCATCAACAGTCTGTGTTAATATCTCCCATATGGTGGCGCCTGGTTTGTTACAGGTAACAACGCGCCTAATTGCTGGTTCTTAAACAACTTTCTAAGTTAAAATACCAAAAGTATGAATTGAAGTCATGAGCGGTCTTATCGCTTTGTGCTGTGGATCTTGCATTTCCACAAAGTACCAGCTAAGAGAGAATGGAGAAATCCTACGCTTCAATATATGAGCTGCTTCACTGGAGCCCCCTGCATTTTCGGCCGCCAAGAAACGCGCGTCAGTAGAGTTTTGCATTCTGTCAGATTCCAGACATCAATTCGTAGGGAAAAAACAGGAGAATAATGTAGAAAAAGGTACAAACAAGGAAAAACCTGACAATACTGGTGATACACAGCAAATCAAAGTTTCGCGATTACCATTTTAAACAAAGCCGCTGATTACTCTTTTCGTTCTAGGCTAAAAAGGCAACTTGGATGATAGTCCGCGACGACACATTTTTGCCTGATACTCTTCAAAATCTAGCCGTTCGTCGTCCACCCATCCCTATCATAATTGGTACTGTGGAAGACGAAGACGCTGATTACGGTAAGTATCATGCAACGGTCTTGTCTTTCCAATTAAATACTTTATGATTTTTGCAGCCTTCAAGCTAGTAGCCGATGGCCAATATAATCAAAGTGAGAGTCAACTCTACAACACATGGATGATGGACTTTGCGAAGAAGAACAAATTGAATGATTCAACAGCTGCTCAGGCGGGTGCAAAGAAGACCATTCATTGTTTCTGGATTTTAAAATAGTAGGTTGCTTATTTCAGATTTCTGATATCATCACACAAAGTTACAACATCTCAACTGGAGGACAACAGTATGACATCAGGTAGGATTTTAGGATTTGCATTGAATCCGAATTTGTTGTTCATTAGTGATGATAACAGCAATC